CCCCCCTGTTTTCATTGTATGGACAAAAAGCATGAAGAAATTATTCAGAATATCTTCATAAACAGTGAGAATGATAACAATTGAAATTTTGGAGTGAACTATCCTTTTAAGCTTGTCATTTCTTTATGAACTATACAATTTCCTTATGGTATTTCGTGTATTTAATGAAGTAAACCTTTTCATTCTGTCCTAAGATGCGACATGGAGTATCTCAGACACTTGTAGGTGTGTAGACAGTAGTGAGCTATTAATGTAATCCTGACTCACTCAGCTCGTGCGTTGTAAATCTGCCGTAAACAGCACAAACCGCCGCTAGAGGTCTCAGCCTCAGTTCTGACAAACAATAAAAGAGTTCTATGTGAACATCAATACATACCCACCTTCGATTAAAACGCTATGCGGGTTTATGGTGGACAAATGTTGCGATTTGCCAATAATCTTCCCTGCTTAAAACACTAACAGCTCCAGTTAACCAGAGCTGCTTCTCGCTCGACTGACTGGACAAAGCCGCTGCGGTCCCACATAGCCTCTAGTCTACAGTAGCCTATATGACGAGCGAGATACAGTATCACAACAGTGAGTGTAAACAATACCAGGATGCCGGATGGAAAAAAAAAACCGCTGCATGTAACAATGATTTTACGTGGTCTGGGAATACTGTATATACGCGTGCAAACGATAACCGACTTTTAATTTTTTCTTCTTGAAACCTTTAGTTACAGAGTTTCACATATTTGTTGCACTCTTAGTATTCTGACTGCAACAATGCATGCATGTGAAAGTAGGTCAAGAGAATCGTATTGTTCAGTCAGCGTGTGCTACTGCTCCGTGTCGACTATTAGAATAAATGAGAGCAAATAAAGACGAAAGATTCAGTATTTCTCACGTGCACCGCAAATTTAGTGCATCTTGCTGCAGAAAACTATTGGGCAGATGCTAATGATAGGCTCTCTGCTTGAGAGTCTCCATTCCAATGGATGTCACTTTTCTTGGTTGTTTGTCATTTGGTGACAATGCCTGTCTCATACCACACATTGTTGTTTTCTGACTAAATAATTTTTTTCAAAGCCTGACAGCTTGTGGCACATGGCATAGTTCTATTATACTTATATTAATATACTATATCAATGATAAGTTTGATTGTTTTAAAGTGAATCTAAGAGGTGACAAGTCATAATATCACATTGAAGATTTTACATTTAGACATTTACCTTATTTATTCATTTATTTATTTATTTTAATTTGATGTCCATTGTAATGTTATCAAATGGATGTATGCCTATAAAAACAACAAGTAGGATGGCATTGCTATTGCATTGCATTGACATTTAACTCGTCTTTCTGGAAACAAGCCAACAAGTTGTGGATGGTGTGACACTGTAAAAAAAAACCTATACCCATGAGCACGGGACAGACTCTGAAGGACTTATTATTATTGATTCTTTCTTTGCCATTTTGAACTTAAATGGTTTCAATACTTATACTTATCACACACACACACACACACACACACACACACATATATATATCCATGTATAATTATTACTATTATTAATTGGACAATGGCAGTCTCTTTTTAATGATTTAAAAAAAAATCACATGCATTTAGTATCTTGATGACAGCAGCTTTTGTGTGGAGAGTTTTTCCTTCCCCCCCCCCCTTTTAGCACAAGTTATGATCATATTCTGAATGTCATGTTAAAATAATTTTACATCATTTTAAGTAAAAATGCACTTGCTTGCCCCTGGTTTACATATCAAAACAACGAATGATAAAATGATTTTGCATAAAATGTATTTCGTTTTCTTGCAATATCTTAAATCAAATTCATATGTATAATTGTATTATTATGAACAGAACCAATCTGCATTGTAATAGACATTAGAAATTATAAATTCGTTTTTAAATTGATTATTATTTATATCTGCATTAGAGTAGAAATAAAGCATGCTCATATATTTGAGTCCCTTCAACATAATCCAGATATGAACAATAAGCATGGTTTCATTACAATGAAAAATTATTTTCTAACCCTTGGTGCTTCAGACAATGGCAAATCAAATTTCGTGCGAATCACTCCAATCCACATATGCGGCCTAAAATCAACCTTCCAAAACTGATAACGGCGGAAAAGTACAGTATGTTTTGTTCGTCTGCAAGTTTTGGAAACGGCTGGAAGAATGTCCAAATGTTCTGTGGAATCGCGGCGGTTTCACACCACAATGTTCCTCAAAATGCTCCGGTCGATCGGAAAAAAGACGGAGTTAATATGGCTGTCCACAATTTATCTGTCAGTGTAGTAAGCTCGCCTTGTGCTGCCGACACGACGCGCATAACAACCCATTTAGTTCCCATCATTTTAGAGCTTCTTGTCCCCTCCCCTCCAGACACAGACAACAACATACACCTTAATAGGGGCGCGTCTCCAACACAGCCGCCGACCAATAACCCGTCTGTCTGGGCAGAGACCAAGGGGATGAGCGCTCGCCGAGGCCCAATCAGCGCTTTTGTGTTGCCTGCCGGTGCCGGGGACTGGTCGTGAAGAGCTACAGCAGCGCTTCAGGATCGGAGAGTGAACCCGGAGCCAGAGGAACCTGAAGGGTAAAGGCGAGTCAGGTGAGTCCGAGGATTCACGCGCGGCCTAGCCGGTATCGGATCGAATAGGGGAATTTGGAAGCGAGATGGTTTTAATCGCATCCGCTTGCGATTCAGCCGTCATTTGGTGTAAATGAATGGGCTAAACGGTTAAAAGGGGATTTGAGGAAGTCTGCTGAGCAGCCAGACAATAGCATAGCGGATTTTGCGTGGAAAGCAAAGCGCTTCTAACACGCAGCAGTTCAAAGTGGTTGGCTAATACTATTAAAATGAGCTCGGGATTGCGCCGTGGCGTATCGCACATCGAGCGGCTATTTCAAGAGCGATTCCGCGAAAAGCCCGTCATATTTAGCAGGCAACTTTGACAAGTTTACTGGCCAAAGCAGCATTTTATATGCGTGAAACGGCTTTCATTGTTTCATCTGGTGTCTCTAGGGGTTAACCCAGATTGGCGGAGAAAGCCTCGCGTCCTCCCGGCTGTGTCTACAGTAGTGCAGTAGCAGCTCAGACACAATGAAAAAGCCCAACATATACACACATGCAACGCCATCAAAATAAATCTAACGCTCCTATTCCAACGATATCAGCTCAAACGGGCTGTTTTGTGAGTGTTTTGGGGCTGTTGAGGGGAGCGGGTATTCTCTCTAGAGTGCCGAGGGCACACGGATTGTACGGTGAGCCTGTACAATTAGAAAAAAAAAAGATGTCGAAAATGCATCAGCCATTTACGTAAGTGAGGACGTTCTCTCAACTTGCTCCATATGCACGCAAATGGCTGCCCAACACTTGACAGACGTAAGAGTGAAATCTAATTCCAGCGTGAATGCAGGTATTGATCGAAGCCAGCAGGGAGTCACTGATAATCGGGGGGAGATGACGTTTAGAAAGAAACTCTGATCAATGATATGTGCTTTCTGTTAGCCGTTCTCTGCAGACACGTCCAAAGGGAGACTGGGTTTACATTATAGGCTTTATATAGTCAGAGGCTAACTCTAGCAGTCTGATTTGCAGAGTTTGACCCCTCAAGAATTTTTCATATGCATTTAGTAGCTATATGACAGTAATTTACGTTAGTTTGTTTGTGGAGACAGTTTTTTTTTTTTTCATTTTAAGGAGCAGATAATTCCACGATATGGGCAAATTCTTATTTTGCTATCATCCCAAAGTTTTTAAAAATTGCACTCAGTAATTTTTGCTAATTAAAAAAAAAAAAAAAGTTTCACATATAAAGAAATTAACTGCACTACATCAAGTGGGTCGCCTGCTCATGGGTGCTGCCATGTTGAGATCACATGACCTGCCGTGTCATGCAATAGAGTGCACTGTCGGTTCCAAAAGTAAAAATTCCTTTTATTTTCTCCATAGGAGAATTGATTTTTAACTGTAACTTGTACACATTTAAAGACAGACCTAACATGAACTACAAGGTTGGTAATCGATAGTTGCTTTTCCCATCAGTTATTTCAACTTTTGTTAAATAATCATGTTTGACAGTGGAATTCCAGGTGGAAACTACATTACCCTTCATTCTGCAAAGAAATCTCCACTAATCAGTCAAATCAAGCAAATCACATCAAAATAACTGTTTAGCACCCACCCACTGTCTGAGCTTTCAAGCTACCTAAATATTTCTGTGTGTGTTTATGTGTGTGTATATATATACACACACACACACACACACATATATATTTTGCAATAAATGTAGAATATGTTGTTTCTATATACACAAAATAGTTTCACATCAATAGTTTATTTGACCAGATATCTATATATATTTTTTTATTGTCATTTGCTGTGCTTCATGGAATTGTATTCCTTTCCCTCATTCAAAGTTGTTAAGTGCGCAGACTTTTTGTCTGGTTTTCTAATGATATTTTTCTTCATCTCAAAGTGATGTCTTAATTCACCTTGTAGCTAGTTGGTTTGGTTCATGGCTTATAACTTTTTAACAAAGGCTTTAAAAATCCCAATAGGAAAAATACTTCTGGAACTAAGGCTTCTGCAGAAGTGACAGAGTTACTTCTACCGCTACTAATAGTCACAACAAACAGAATGAGTTTGAATTCAATGTGGCTATTATATGGATGTATGTAGTATGAGACGGAGAAAGACACAAAAACGAACAAAATAAAAGAAAAACCAACAGCTTAGGTATGACTGTCATACATCTACGCAAATAAATGTCAGGATGAAGTTTAAAACCACTGAATAGGAGCCAGCTGAATGTAAACACAAACTTACTGACTGCACCTTTTAAGTTCAAGGAATTATTTAAGAAACTAACAGACTTATGTACTCCTAGATATTTTTATAGCATATAAAAGTTTCCCACTTTGACAAGTCACAGAGAAAAAGCTCTCCACCCACTGTTATTAAAGTCATTTATACGTTCTCTTGTGTGGAGAAAAAGGTCTACATAGAAGTCACTGAACATGTACTTCTCTAGGAATTACCCTGGTGAAATCATACTAATGTCTGGTTTAAGTAATCTGTGTAAACAACAGAACTGTGAATAAAAAATATTTTTTAGCAACTAGCACATCTAATAAGAGCCAATTGGAGTGTTTTCTGCTAATTTTGAAAAAGGCTGCTGCATACTGTGAGGGCCGCCCCACTAGTATTACATCCTCAAGAGGGGTCCAAACAATGTTCTTATTGACTGTTTTGCTCAAAGGCATTTTGTGTGGACTGTTCCCCCTCCTCCCCCGGGGGGGGGGGGGGGGGGCTATTCATCACTTTAGTCGGTGCACCCGAGCTTATGGCCATCGCCTGTGAAAGGATTTTTTGCAGTTTGTTCTCTTTAATTTCCATGGTGCATGAGCACCTTATTGCTAGTAACTGTCTGGTTTTGTTAAGCCCACAAAACCTGTGAAGTGCGGTGCGAGGTGATAAGATGGAGTACACTGAGATGAGCAAAGACTCTAAGCTCAAGTTATCAATGTAGATTTCATCATAGATCTGTCATGGTTTAGAGGTACCTATTCAAGTACCTGTTCTACCTAGACTTGCTTCACACCAGATCTCATGTTAGTACTGGTGCTTTAACGCAACATTGGCATTCCCATGCTGAATGCATGGATTTTCAGTATAAATATAAGCCTAATGCATATTTTTAAGTGGTTTGTGATTCATTGCTTAAGCCTTGTGCTGTGTGCTATAGATAGTTCACCCAAAAAAATCAAATTCTTTCATTTGATTACCCAAAAATCTGTATGATTTTCTTCTTTGAATTGCAAAAATTGTTTTTATTTTTTAATGAGTCAATGGGGTCCAAAGCAACATTAACCTTCTTTAAAATATCATCTTTTGTGTTCTCTATAAGAATAAAAGTCACGAGGCTGGGTAAATGATGGCAGAATTTAATTTTTGGGTGAACTATTGCTTTTTATAAGCATTTATAAGTGCAGAATTACTATTCACAATCTAAAGACTATATTCAGGACAGGTGATTCTGCGTTAGATCATATTTGGACTTAGCACTTAACTCAACCTCGATTCAATCATGGGTTCATCTAGAAGACGAGACCATGCCATTGAAGAAGACATTTGAGAGGGAAGTCACATTTAGAACTGGATATTGACTCTTGGATCAGAAAGAGTACTTGACTTGGCTGGGTTTCAGGACTGCTGAATGGTCAGAAAAGGTAGTGTTTAGAATTAGCAGTGCCCCTTTGGCAAATGTATTGAGTAGACACAACAAAGCGGCTTGCTCTGTAAACATGCACCATGAGATTTATGGTAGTGCAATATGATGATGTGGACCCAAGTTGTGCTAGTTTTGTAAAACGAACCCTCACTGCGACAATCCTGAGAGCCCAGAACGGGGCATTGACACTCAGATGCCCTCCCATTGGTCTCCTACCCTTCAACGCACCTTCAGTGTCGTTAGCGTTGTTTTAAAGCCGGTTAGAATGAGAGAGAAATGTTCACGTCCAGTAGTTTTTTGGTTTTGTGTGATAGTGGGTTTAAAAAAGACCCTCAGGACTGAACTGTCAGGTCCAAAAGAGTTTGATTCATTGGCTCTTGGGTAAGCTAGGGGCTGCTGCTCGCCCTTTCTCCAGATAAGGCTTATTGGTCTAGGAAACAATATGATCACATGTCTTTTGGCTTTATAAAACAGTGTAATGGACAACATCATTACCTCAGACCTTCCCATTGACATCTTAGAGAAATTAAGTCTGTCATATAGGCCTACTCAGGAATGTTTTTGATTGTACTCTTATTTGCATTTTGAGGTTTAGTCACAGGGATAAGTTTTTAAAAATTGATGTTCACTGCAGTTTATCATTTAGCCATATTCTTTTTTTAATTCAGTATTTGAACTAAAGTTTCCACGCGCTTCCTTATAGCTAAATTTGTAATCAATTGGTGTTCATACTAGTTATTTGTTGTTTGTCTTTGATAAGTCAGTCTGTATATCAAGTCTTCCGTTTTCATTGACTATATGAGAAGGTCTGATTGATACCTACTCAAAATCAGTGCTCATTTCATGACCCATAGTTATGTAAAATTGAGACCTGAATGCCTGAATGTTTTGAAAAGAAAGAAATCAGGATAATTACCCCTTAATCAGAAACATTACATTTATTTAAAAATGTTCCCAAGCGAAAATCCTTTGAGGGTGAGAAGTCTTGTCAGTTGCTTGTACATGCTACTAATTGATATGGATGATGTTAATGAATGTGAAGTGATAAATCTAGACCAGTGAAAGAAGTACAAATAAAAAGAAAAGTATGTCAAACTGTTTTAGGGCCTGATACCAATCTGTGTCAGTGTTCAGTAGTATACAGTAGGAAGTGTTTTAGAAAGGGTTAAGGGATCGTTAACTCAAAAATGAACGTTCTCTCATCATTTACGCACCCTCATGTCATTCTAAACCTGTGTGACTTTCTTTGTTTCTGCAGAACACAAAAAATATATATTTTAGAGATATTTTCAAATGTTTTTGTCCACACAATGAAAGTCAGTAGGGTCCAAAACAACATTGGACCCCATTGACTCTCAAAATGATTCTTCAAATC